CAATAAATACTATTGAATAGAGCATGGTATAAATGTAGAGTAAATAAAGTAGTTAGAGCCAACAATAAATACTATTGAATAGAGCATGGTATAAATGTAGAGTAAATAAAGTAGTTAGAGCCAACAATAAATACTATTGAATAGAGCATGGTATAAATGTAGAGTAAATAAAGTAGTTAGAGCCAACAATAAATACCAACTACTTTATTTACTCTACATTTATACCATGCTCTATTCAATTATTTCTAACAACTGTTCCTTCTGCCTGTCCTCTACTCAAACCATTCTCTTGGTCTTGACAAGTTTACTTAATGACCAAACTTGTATGCACTTATTTCAGTAAAACAAGATGAGTTCTTCTTGATCTGCATGTAATATTTATTGTATGCTAAATAACAAACCATTATTTTATTACTTTAGATACACAAAGAACTAAACAAACACAACTATAATAAGTCACAAAGCTGCAGAGAATGAAGTCTCACATTTATACATCTTTATACATCATTATTACTCATAAAAAAAACAATTATAAAATGTAAAAAATAGTTAAGTACAATTAAAAATTTTTATTTGATAAAACTGAAATAGAATAAATAGTTTTCTATGATAAAAGTACTAAATTTCAAATATTAGAATCTTCGTACAATAATTTTAACAATAGAACACATTGACATAATTTATAGCTATAATGATAGAACACATTGACAAGAAAAACTGAAGGTGCTATTTAATTATATGCAGCTTAGTTTAGCATAAACACAGTATAAACTTACATACCCCAGAAACAATAAGGCTTCCAGATATATTCTGTACATCAGCTTTCACCTTACTTGTGATATTCAGCTGATGACAATACAGTGCAATCCGCTGAAGATAGGCCAACAGATCTTTCTTAGTGTTGGACTCAGGACACTGAAATGTAAACAAAAGATTCCACGTCAAATCAATAGCCCATTGTGTCAGCATTGAATAATAAATGACAATACAGTGCAATCCGCTGAAGATAGGCCAACAGATCTTTCTTAGTGTTGGACTTGGGACACTGAAATGTAAACATAAGATTGACAATACAGTGCAATCTTCTGAAGACAAGCCAACAGATCTTTCTTAGTGTTCGACTCGGGACATTGAAATGTAAACAAAAGATTGACAATACAGTGCAATCCGCTGAAGATAGGCCAACAGATCTTTCTTAGTGTTGGACTCAGGACACTGAAATGTAAACAAAAGATTGACAATACAGTGCAATCCGCTGAAGATAGGCCAACAGATCTTTCTTAGTGTTGGACTCGGGACACTGAAATGTAAACAAAAGATTCCACGTCAAATCAATAGCCCATTGTGTCAGCATTGAATAATAAAAGTATTTTAGATTTCAAGAAAGATGATAATAGAATACTGTACAACAACAACAACAAACTTCTGGAGTTACAAGTTTTTAAACATTAATGAACAGAACTTCTTCAAAATCCAATCAATATTTCAGAAATGATGAGATGCACTACCCATTTGAAAGATTTGATTTTTTTTTAGAAGCAGAAATTAAGAAGGATTTGTGATTATGTTTATTAAACAGGAAGGCCCTACTCAACTAAGCTGTCCATCTCAATTGGTTTTGTGGTTGGTGGAACTCTACAGCTATGATAATTGGCTTTTAAGACTCAAAACTCCACTAGTTTTTATTTTCACACGTGTGTAAAACTGGCCAAGCACAACACGGTGAAAAAGGGTTCATGTTCGTGCTCCATTACCACAACTATAAGATATAATGCTTCATAGTATGGGGCAATGGATGCATTATATGGGTGATGGTCAAATCTAACTATTTCATACGACAAGAGTATCCCAGAAAGATGGTAGTATGTGATGTTGAGTAGCTGCTTTCCCTATAATTTATCACTTCCAAATTAGGGATAGCTAGCACAAATAGCCCTCATCTAGTGTTTTGCAAGATCAAACAAATAATTCTATTTCTTTAAGTTATATCTTCAATGTTTACTCTTTTTATGTCTATTACTAAAATTATAATTGAAAGGTTTTATTTAAAGTTTTCTATAGTCCTCCTTCTGCAACC